AATGAAATACGTTGAGTTGTACTTCAGAGAGGTAATGTTAACTGAGTCTGCCATATGCAAGGTGGTTTTAAACCTATAAATGAGACCCAGGAGTTTTTCTACACATATGAATGCTCCTAACGGAATATTCGAGATTAGCGCAAATGTTTGCGGTTGTCTTCATCAAACTGTGAATGTGATTACGTGAGAAACTTCTGTCCCGTTCAGTACCTCCAAGATGTTAAACCAGAACTGATATATTTTGTTTCTTAACGTCTGAATTTATAGAAACTTGGTGAAAGCTTTCCCCGGCTTCCTTCCGTCCATGTTTAGTTCTTTGTGTCGTCGAGTTACCCTTCGTCGACTTTGCTTGAATCATGAGCTTTCTCTTAACAAGAATTTCATCGGATTTTTAATTATAATAAGAAATATTCCAGATATTTTTTAAATTGATTCCAACGTACGCATATATGAAAACCCATTTCCGAAGGCAGCCGTGTTAGTAAAAGACTTAGTCATTCTAATGTACTGCGGTTAAAGACATCTTAAGGCGAAATGACAAACTGTTAGCCTTCCCCTTTTTCATTCATCAAGTAATGGTCATTGTCACGGTAAAAGAGGAAATTGGAATATTATGATCAGTATTTCCACACGTGGGAAATATTTGTTGTAAAAAAGATATTCCGAGGGAATTAGGTGGGTAAGAAAGTCAATTAGTAAGTAAGTAAGTTTGTGGGCAAATTAAATGAGCAAGGATATTAGTAAGTAAGAGTTTAAGTCGTTAAGTAAGTTAGTGAGAAGATAAGTAAGGATGCTGGAAGGAGAAGTTTCAATAAGTTTTTCCATAAGCAGCTGCCAATGCTGAAATGGGCGGCTGCACCCAGAGAAGGGGCTGATAGACGAAAGCCAGAGACGAAGACCTGCTTGTAGGCTGACCAGACAGTGGTAAGATGTCGTACAGGCGGCAGAAGACCTTTAATTGAAACTCCTGTAGTAAGTAAGTGGATAACTTTACTGAAGTGTAAGATACTTCTAAAGAAGTCCGTACTGAATTATTGATACAAAATTCGCTTATAAGTATCATATAATAACCAAGATTACATAACCTTACGGTTATCACTGTTTAAATAAAAAGATAATTAAATGATATTAATTTTACTAACTGCTAATGTTTTTAAATATCGTAAATATTATTTAAAAATTCATTAAATAGGTAGAGATTATATGTAAATAGGAAATAGCTGACCCTAACTCTAACCCCAATTCATTTTCAACTTGGTTATTATTATTTTTTTTTCGATTAGACTGTTGACCAAAACACAGAAGCGGAAACCAGTCTATCTGGGAAAGCAAAATCTAGCTTTCGAATGTGTCTGTCAGACAGTTAACCTCTAATAGAGACCAACATAAAATTCCTCTACACAAAATCACACTTAAAAAACTAACATTAAAATCTCAAGAATAAAGGAAATGGTCACCAACTAAAGAAGCTCTTGATTGTTAAACATATTTTCCTTATCCGCAGCACCTTACGAATGAACAGAGAACAGTATGGGTAATGTTCATGCTGACCGGACGTTAGGGCGTAAAGGGTAAAAAGAAGCTTAAAATGAGGCTTTTTATGACTATTTTGAAAGTTGTACGCACAGGTTTACTTTCATTAAATATAAGATAAAATTTATTTTGACAGAATAGATCAAGAACTATCACTTTTTTCCTTCATATTAATTGCTAATTTGAAATGAGAGCCTTGCTTTTTCCTGTGACTACCAAATTTCTATTCCAAGTAAGCAGCACGACATGATCGTTTGACTTGGGAACAGATAGAGGCTAGGCTCTTTGTATCGGAAAATGGATAAATTTTTGTGGTTACTCCAAAAAGACCGCTACTTTTTCCACAGACACAACGAACCGGGAGAGGTGGAAATCTGAAAAGGCAGACTTATCAATTTGCCTATCTAAACACTGGGAGCGACATTTCCGAAACAATTACTCTAAACTGTTGATCACACTCGTTTCAGTCGAAATTTTAATCAGTTTTAGTTTTTATACTTGTGAGAACATGTAAGCCCGTGGTGTGTCGGATAATAACACATTGAAGGAAAATCGAGAGATTTAAAATTTGTAATTCCATATGTTTCATTCGATGAATTTGAAAGAGGATCGTTTGCGGTTGATTTTGTCGGCCAGTAATGGCGTGAATATTGCAGCATGGAAGTAGAGCGGTGTGTAAGACAATCTTTGAAAACTTTCAATTCCTAAACGCACTCTAACATCCGTGGAGTAGATATATGATTGCATGGTACAATGTGAGGAAGGGTTTTTTTTCATTTCTTTTTTGGGAAGCATGTGTAGGTTTAATTTTTAACAGCTTAAAAACTGTGTAAAGAATGTTAACTTTTGACTTCTGAGTGTTGATAGCGAATCCATGAACACGTTGTGTGCTTGCTTAGGAAATTGGAACGTTTATCGATGACTGAAAGCTCCAAGAGGGTTTATTTTCGCTTCAAAGCTGGTAGTGACTTAAATCTCAGTCTTAATTCCGTTTAGATGCTTCGTTTGCAATGCAAGTCGAACCTTTCCATTTTGCATTATCCTCGTACCGTTCTTGTTCATTCTTTCAATTTTGGTGTTTCTTTGTCTTATGAAGATAATGTTATGTGGTTCCCTTCACGTTAAAAGTAATTTGCACGTCACAGCAAGTGATCCAAATTGAAGTCACATAACGTCCTTAAAAACCATTTGCATCAAACACTGCAACCATACGGGTCCACGCGATGGTGAAATGGACGCTATTGGTTCTAATTGTAATAACACTAGGTTGCAGTTGAAGGGCATTGAAACGCGCATAAAATGAACATTCATGTGCAATTTCGTTTTGCATTTCTAATCTCTTGTTGAGCGTGTGGGGTCTCTTGTCCTTTGCTTAGTAAGGTATTTGAAACCTAATGGAGTACAAAATGTTAGGTCAGCCAAATAGAAAGGGGAATACAACGATTCTACCACCACAATGAAACCACCAAACTACAATTATAATTTTTACAGCCCCTCACTGTAAATTGGGAGATCTTCTTTTGGTGTTGCGTAACTGTAATGTCAGAGGTTTTGACCCTCGGTTGTTGGCAGATCATGGAAAGATTCTGCGCAATTGGATTTAAAACACGAAGAATTCGGCGGAAATGTATCCACTAATCCAAAGGCCACCCATGGGACTGACTGCACGCTATATTCAAAGGCGTTGCATAAAAGCCAGGAGGTGGCTCCTAGAGAGGAAAATGCGATGATCTAAAGGAGTGCTACTAAAACAAACATGCTTGTCTCCTACTGGTTCACAGATCTTATACCCAGACCCTCCCTCTGGCCCTCCTAATTCCGCCTGCTTGGAAATCCCACTAAGCTTTTCACAATACTGGCATTGTACACCAGAAGCATACGAAATTGTAAATTTTAAAAACTAGGGGTACTTGTCGTATATTTAGGATCAGGTTACCCTTTTTGTAATTTTTACATTTTAGCGTGTGTAGGAAATTCGAAAGATGTGCATGTGGGCTTTAAAACAGAATCCCAAAGTGTGCAATGATTCATGTAAAACTATTTCGTGTCTTTAAAAAGGAAATGCAACAAACAAAAACAAGATTTCGTCAAGGATTCCTCGACCCGGAAGTATCAAAGGAAAATCACATATTACACGATTTGCACTTCTAGTCAAGTAACGATCGTTTTAACGGCATCATTTTATTTCTTGTTACAGCAATGATTGAAAGCTTTTTTTGGATTTCCTTTGTTTTTCAAGAAACAAATTGTACCTGCCAGTCATCGAACGTGCTCGAGACGGGAGCCCTAAACCACAAACAAAATTTCCAATTGCATTACAGCACGTCTCATCTTGAAATCTCCAATTATTTTTTTTGTTGTTTAAGTTTATTTGATATTCGCATAGGTTAGGCCGATAATTTCAAGTAACTTATAATTGATTGGACTTAGCAAAACAAACTCACTTTATTGCATCAAGAGAAAATTACTCATTAACGGATCGATTTCACTGAGAAATGCCTCTTGGCTTACATGAAGCGCCGAACAATCGTCTTAATGTTCATTTAAGTGGTTTTTTTCATTCACTTTTTAGTGGATTGTTATAGTTAATTCTGTCTCAAGTTATTTTGGTTTTTTTTTTCTCAAACGCTTCGCGACTGTACATGAAAAATACCGCTTAATATCACTTAACGGATATTGCAAGTCAAAATAGAAAAAAATCACGCTCAAAGAGGGTCATATAATGTTGTGTTTCAAACCATCAACTCTATGTAGACGATAGGAGAAATTTCTGGTCCACGTTCATTGTTTTCTTAAAGAAAAGGGTTTTGAACAGACGAAAAAAATCGTGCTTCATTTTGTACTTAACTGCGCTTTTATGGTCACTGTAGTTAACGACTTTTGTTTGGTATCCAAAAGTAGTTAACATCAATTGTAGCTGCAACTTTCATACTAACATTGACTCTCTCTTGGAAATCAGAACAGATTTGGATTCGAAATGACTTTGTGGCGTTCAAAAAAGCATATAACCATTCAGAAACTAGAATTCGTTGAACAGCACGGTCGAAAGCGTAGCGATTTGTTAGATAACTTGTCTTTTGTAGATAGTTCCAGGTAGATCTCAAACATTTAACGTAGTTTATTTGGAACGAATAGAAGGTATGGACCATTAAATTCCAGGAGTTAAAAAGGTTGAAAGTAATAATAGATATGTTGCAAGGTAATAGTAGACTTTGCGTGTATGTAGCCGTAGAATTTCGCCGCTCAAACACCATTTTGCCGGACGTGAAGCTTAACTCATCCGGTTCATAAGCTCATTGATGCGATCAAATGTAGTGAAGCTGTAATGAACACCACCAAGCGAAAGTGCTTCCCGCTAAATGTCCGCGCATGACGCTTTATGCTCAGCTATTCTGTGCTATGATTCGTTCGTTTTCTGAATAGCTATTGACCGCAATGTACATCGTCGGGGCCGGAACAACAAAGTGGGAAGACAGACTGAGTGTAGATTTGTTGCGCTCTTTAAGACCGTGGAGTTTTTTAACGAGGCTGAACGTTTGTAAGCTCTCTTCGCTGTTTGCGCGTTTGTCACCAAATTCCTTGACTTGATGCCCCATCTGATTTCCACTCAAGGCGCCTTGATGGTTCATTGTAAGTGGATTTCTGTTGTAAGTTCTTAACGATAGATCTTAGCTTAAAACGTCCAAAAATTCTTGTTCCTTTTGGTGTTGCGTGCCTTACTTGGCGTTTATAATTCAGCTGTACATTGTTATCCAAATACATCATTAATAGTATTAGAATTATTAGCTTATTAAGAAATCAGCTTACTCGAGGAGCTTATATAGTTAATGATGGATGGGTCAGAAAACCTGGATACTGTAAAATTAAGTGCTCGCTCAGTCAGGAGTAAAACTGTTTTGATTAAAAGACAAACCCTTATCCGAAAAAACCGAAACCAGAGAGCGGATTAGAATTACTTAATTACACAAATAAGGAAACTTCGCCGAGTGCATGACAAGCCCTTTTAACTATTTATGGGAATATTAATAACGGATTTTTCTTATCTAGCTTTATCAAGTAAGATTTACACTATGGTATAGATATATCGTAGATATACAATGTACTGGGACTTAATTCAATCACATGCGTGAGCGCACATGGAAGGAAATGGAGAGCCATCCCACACAACGGGTTAAAGAAGTTACATTCTAACTTCCGACAGCGAGGGGTTAAAATCAAATGGATCTTTGTGTTTGAAGTGCAAATGTCAAAACTGGAGAAATGTTTTTGCTTGTTTTTATGTGTCCAAGATTTGGCCGCAAGATTTGACCTCCAGACATGACTCATAGTAATAATCACTTTTAAAGGCGATTTATTTTCTTGTAAAACCAACTAAAAGGATCATCTGCTAAACCACAAAATAGTCTTTCGTTTGTTTCCAAAATGGCATTTTAGAGGTTAGCGTCTTAGAAGGAAATTTATCCGACAATGAGAAAGATCGGATCAGTTTACTACCTTCATGTTTGATTACATTTGGGTGTTGGCGAGATTTTTCTGATCTCACCGAGCAAGTGGCTTCGAATCGACAGTCCAGGGCAGTTGACGGATTTTCACGGTCTTGTAGCCGCTATTTCAGTTCGGGCTACGTTTGCTTTCTTGTAGCTAGCTCGGATTAATCTATCTTAGACAATTTGGACAAGCTTCATAATTTTAACTGAATTGCACAGAGTAGGTATAGTGTGCGAGCTATAGATCCCGTACAGTTGTTCTCGATCTTTGTGCCCAACAACGAGGAATTTGTGAAACGTGAACTGCATCGAACAATAACTTCCTCTACGACCACGAAAGACAACGCCTTGGGTAAGTTACGGATATCTGATCGTCTCTTTGATGATGAGGTTCCTTGACATAAAAAAGACCGAGCAGAAAAAAGATACTCCTGTGTTTTTGCGAGCTAGCGGTGTATTTGTCGGTTCTTTTGCTACACACGGATACATTTCTTTGCCTGAGTAAAAAGATTGGGGTGTCGCTCAATATTCATTTGCATAAGGTGGAAAACGCTACGATTTCGCATTACAAAAACCATAAACAAAGAGGCAAATAATAAGGTAGGAAGTAAAACAGACCAGATTGACTTTTTCCTGTGCTATTTAGCAGACTTGTAAACTCAATTTTCGTTTATCGGATGATTTTTGAGCGTCTGAGTGTTGGTATCGTTATCACGGACATGCAAACACTATGCAGTTAGCATATCCTCCTCAGCCCGTGTGACGGGAATCGAATTTCTCCTAACTTATCAGTATGCTTTCAGACATGCGCTTAATGAGATCACGGGAAAGGATCTGAGGGAACTTAACGTAAAGGTAACAATTCTCCAAACTTGTTCTATAAGGGATTACTTGATACGTGGTGAGAATGTGGGTTTTGATGTATGAATTTTAAATGAATGGATAATCGAGGCGGCAAATATAAATTGTTGTCAACTGATGTGTAGGCGATGTTAAATGCATGGAGGAAGAGTAAATCAAAATTTTTTTAAATTCATTACCATAGCAACCTTTGAATTTTAATACTCGCGAAGCCACTCGAATGGAGTACGGTGTTTAGAAGGCTTTAAATGTCGTCGCAGTCCATGAAACTACGAAAAATTGCTTCAGTTAAATCGAAATTTTATTTTTTTGGCCCAAAATCTTTATTTTCGAGTATCACAACTTGAAAAACGTGATTTGTGAGGGTTTCTAAGAATTATGACCTTTGTCAAATCGGCTTTTTTGCTTTTATGGAGCTGTAGAATCTGTGGTCGTTTGGCAAAGAAATGTTCCGCGCTTTGCCGAGTTTAAGCAAACGCGGGCCGCTCGAATCAATTCAAATTTTTAAGATATTTGTTGTTTTTAAATTACTCGGAAAATCGCCTTCATAGCGCGTAAGTCGTCGAAACACGTGTTAAACTCAACATTGGTTTTAGGGACAGGACAGACAGGATTTAAAAGCGATGAACTCGACCGACGCAATTGAGAGGTTTTGGAACGCAAATCCGTTGACAGTTAGACCACAAAGATCTTCGCATGTGGGACGTAGAAACTGAGAAATTTTTACAAGAATGCGCTCTTTCTTCTCCAAATTGAAAACTAAGTCGTTAACAGCTTGTTTATGCGGATATAGGTACGGCGGTGCATATATGAACTATCGTGATTTGAAAGAAATCAATACTGAAAAGTGATTTCCGGTTTTATTTGACGAAAGGAATGGCTCTGCGGCAAACGAAGGATTAAATGTATTAGAAAACTGTCTACGATGTAAAATAATCAGGTCACATCGGAAGCAACAAACCATAAACATGCTGTATACATTTATGACCATGTTAACGGCAATACCATCCACCAGTTTTGCTTTGGGTAAAAAAATGTGTGGTCGTCTTTCTGTTTAAAAGCACATTTCACTGATTTGAAATAAATTTTTAATCGATTTCAGCTGTAGCTAATTTGAAACTTTGAGATATTTTTAAACTTTTCATACAAGGGCTCAATGCTCAGTGACCTCAGAAGTTTTTGCATTGCGAGTATACATCGTTGATATAAATTTAGCAGCTTGCAGTTTAGAATTCAAGGATCGCATCCATGAGATATTTAAAGCGTTAGAGGAAAAACCCTGTGGAATGGTCATTTACAAACTATAAATAACATTTTAAGACGCAAGGTAAGAATTATAGAGACTTAAAAAAAAAAAGGATGGTACACCTTGTTTTAAAATCCTATTTCAGTGAGTCTCGGTTTATCTTGAGAAAAGAATTTACGAACACCATGAAGGTTGCTGAAGGCAAATAGTGTGAATTCGAACTTGATGACGTTATTAGTCGCTTCTCAAATTGTTATCGATTCAGAATTTTGTAAATGATGCCGAGACCTTACGATGTGACTAGCACTGATATCTCTTTTATCAGACTTCGGACCTAATGTGACTTCCAGAGCATGCGATATTTGTCGTATCTTAGTCGAGCACCAGTTGTTGGTACTCATTGAGCAGTTTGATTTAAATATTGATTTTTGTTTGAGGTCATTTGCAAGCGGAACAGATAACGAGGTCTTTGCTGCTTGCACAAATGTCTTGATGAAAACACCGTTGTGTACTGTATTTGACATTATCAATAGTTTGGACCCCAAATTTTAGACTTGATTTATTTTCATTGTGTTGCGAATATTATTCAGAAGTAGCTATGACAGTCTTTTCAGCGCTTTAAACGAAACCGACCCGCGCAAATCGGCTTCAACAATATTACTAGTGATGTGATCATCTCAATGAAATTATCTTCTATCCCGCACATTTTGAGGAAACTCTGCGTATGAAAAAAAGCTGCTGTACACCTGCAATCGTAACAGAACAATTGTATCGAGCTCTTGGCTGTTCTTCTGTCATGAACTCATTAATTTGAGTTTCCAGGCCGCTGCACACGGCTGTGCGCTAAATTAAAACCGTCCCGGTGCAATTCGTAGTGACTTCCATGACATAAATGAGAATTCGCCAGTCAACCCACCTTGTAAGCAAAACGAAAGCAAATTGCAGACTCCTCCTAAAACGCAAGTTTAAGAGTGAAAGAAATAAAATACACAGATTTGTTATGAAGAACTTCTTCATTCTCACTAGGTGATTTGTGTCATCACACATAACGTCGCTATCGACGAGCTGGCTCGTGATTGGTCCATTCTGTAGTCACCGTGGGCGTTCCTTGAGGTCCTGTCTAGCAAAACACTCCAGCGAAAGTCCCCGCAAATCGAGGGCACAACTTCAAATCACCGAAATCTTGAACTATGAAGAGAATATCTTCCAGTGTATTCATAATTCTTCTCATTCAGCAATTTTGCGCGGCGACACACGAGAAATATGCTAAAGGTGAGTAGAAATTGTTGCGTTTCAAAGCTGCGAAACGTTAGTCGAAAGTCAGTTCAGAGTGTGAATAACAATTTCTACGGGTTTTTCTCCGATACAGGTCGCGCGCTGTTACCTAGCGGTATCTCCAACAACAGTGGTCGCATTGAATACGAGATGACAATCGTGGAGCGAGTGAATCCCCTTGGAAAACGCCATTCGCCTCATAAAAATTTTGTAAAATACGAATATAACGGTTGGGGGCTTGCCACAGTTTATTATAGACTTGCAGCGTTTGGTCGAACTTTTCGATTCCGATTGGAGCGGGACGCAAGCTTTTTATCGCCTGCTCTTTACGTAGAACATGTGTACAGTGATCTGAGGAGACTTCCATTCTCTGGGAATTTGCAGCATTGTTTTTACCGGGGAGAAATCCAAGGAGAGCGAAATTCCACTGCCGTGTTTAATTTGTGCAACGGACTTGTTAGTACCTTTGTCCTTTTTACATGTATTGTTATATTTGATATTTTAATTTGCGCTTTCATTTCCAAAGATTTCTTCTGTACTGCCGTGCAGCGCTGCGAATGTTCTGTCACTCTCAAGCCTTGTTACCTACCGTTCCGTAATTTTAATTCGATTTAGAACAATTCCATGTGATACTTATTCATGTGATGAAGACATTTGGAAAAATTATCATTTTGTGACCGAAGGCGGTGTAGTCTTCTATTTATCTACTCAATTAACGAGGCCTGGCCGACCGACTTTCAGCCAGGGACATGTAAATTGACAAGTTTATAAACACTCTGAATTGAGAATTGTTTACCCAGGTTAGCCCCTGTTAAGCGAGTTTCGTGTCAAATAAACGGCATCTAATCCAGAGTTTATTTCACACGGGATACTTTTGAAGAACATTTTTCACAAGGGCTTGGGTTAGTTGTGGTTGCCATTTCAGATTTTTGGGTTTTCAGTTCTACCGGAAGCGGTTTCATGCGGTAATGACCCCCTGGAAATCAATACGAACAATTTTTCTGAACTCACGCGTTCCCGTCTAGATGGCGACTCCTCGTACAACGTCAAATTCCAAAAAAAACTTTAAATGTCCTTTATTAAACTAAAAACCCCTGATACATGAGTATTTAATTAGCAAGGAGAATGTCGAGTAACCACTTTCTCTGTTAGCATAGCAATCATGTATTAATAATAACGAACTTTGAGTTTATAAGAATTGCACATGTAAACTCCCCCCTCCCTAAATGCGCGCAGATTTTATTTATTTTATTTTTGATATTTGTTTTCAAGAGTGACACTTTTAGTTAAATTCCACAAATAATGTGTGCAATTTCTCTCCAACAGCATGGTTCGTTCGTCTCAAGTGGCCAGCGCTATTTAATCGAACCTGCTAATGAACGGAACACAAAATTACACGCGCATTTCAGGAAATTCCATATCGTGTTTCGTCATTCTGCTCTTGAAGACGATGTTAGTAATGCTCCGTCGACATGTGGACTTGTGGGTAAGTTTCGTTTACACTACAGCTGGCCCGTCTGTACGTGCAATACGGTTAAAAAGGAGTCGAATCTACCCACAATCTTGCACGTTTTCCGTAATACAGGAAGCTTATCTTAGTTCAAAGTTGCTCTCAATATTTATCTACCTTGACATGAGTCCTGACAAATAGTGCATTTCACGTAACATCATACCGGGCGCCAAATCAGATAAGAAACTCTGAGATCAACTTCAGGTAATACAAATAAATACACCTTTCAATCTTGCTTGATAGCCAGCGCGTCAGACGTTTTCGATTTGTTTGTTTTACGCGAGAAGAGTTTTTGCCGTAACCCTTGCCTTGTATCTGTTGTACCGTGCGTGCGCAAATCTGTAAATGAGGAAAATTAAGCTTTGATTTTAAGGAATTTCTTTGCGCAACTAACTGTAGCTTGATACAAGTTGATCTTATGTCTCATTCTGCCGTGTGCGTGAGAAGACGGGAACGCTACAAAAAGTTGAAGCACACTTGACACGATACGTTGAGGCGGTCGACACTAAAGCAAGGTTGTCTCAGAAATCTCTGACGTAAAGCTTGACAGCGTTCACGTGAGTCAATCGACAATGACACGATACGATCAACAAACTAACATTTTAAAGTTTACTTTGTCGTTTTTGGTTGTCTGAATACCATATCTTTTGGATTTTGTCTGTCAGTACCTTTTCTTCCTTAAAGAGGGCGCTTTACCGCTACAACATGGCAAAAATGCAGTTGTTTTACGTCAGAAACAGCCTGCAAATTGGATCAAGAAATTCCTTTCAAATCTTTTCAGCACGTGGTTTATTGACGTTTGTTACAGAAGGCAGGGACGAATTGAAGTTGTGTGCGATAGCGTAATGTCATTTCTGCCAGGTCATTCCATAATGACGGAGGGTTATGGATTTTTCAGATTTTCCTAATACCATCTTGTTCCATAAACACTGTGTTTATTTCCCTGCTCACCCGGTGACTTCTGCTATCAGTGAGCTCTTCACAAGTCTTACAGTCTGTTTATTGGACGTGGTTGATACAAACCAAGAACACGCTCAGAACCTGACGTTGTCGAATCAATATTTCTCCGTGAAAGACAAAGAATTTTGCGAATTTGTAAATTGTTCTACAGATGGCTTGTTGTCATAAACACAGCGTGAAGCGCAAAAGAAATTGACAAATCACTCCGATGCTCAATCAGATACACCGGAAAAATGAACCTACATCCAGTTTAAAAAATGTTAACAAAAACCATTTGTGGCCACCTTTATTTTCCGCAGTGGTGTTTCGATGTTCTTGTGCACGGCGAGCATTCCATGTAACGGTTAGACAGGATTAACCTACAAAATCGAACGGTCGAAACGTAGCTCCCTGTAATTAATGCTTTCTTGATCGATTTTAAATGACGATGATCAGATGCTTAATTGCAAATAATATCCTCTTGTCACGCATTGCTCTTTGCTCGTCACGCAATGCTTTCGTCTCGTTGATCCATAAGCGAAAGGCTAGAGAATGCCTATTCAATCGATTCTTCGTGACACTGCAGCCAACCTTGGATTTCGAAAGTGATTTTAAGAGCATTTTCGCTCAAATGTAAGGCTTCTGATGAGAATTTCTAACCCAGTTCTTCTCGGTGGGAACCCACTTTGCTTTCACAAATTGTTATGAACACTCCTGTTCTCTTGTTGTTAGGTACATTCTCCTGTACAAGTTTTTGTGCACACTCCTTTGCACACTTTGTAATGTATGTCCCTGTATGCACGCGGTTATGCTCACTCCCATGTGCGTACGTTGTTATGTGCGCTCCTATACACACGCTGTTATTTGCGCTCTGATGCGCGGGCTGTTATGTACGTTCCTGTGCGCACGCTGTTATGTACGTTCCTGCGCGCGCTGTTATCTACACTCCTGTGCGCACGCTGTCACGTATACTCCTATGCGCGCGCTGTTATATACGTTCCTGTGCACGCATTGTTATGTGCGCTCCTGTACGGGCGCTGTTATGTATGCTCACAAGTGTGCGCTGTTGTTTTCTCTCCTGTGTTCATTTTTTTGTGGAAAAAGTCAAGTGCTATGCTTCATATTTATGAAATAGTTTAAATGATGGCTATTTGTTATTTAAAGTTGCCATGGTTTTGTTTAGCTGGTAAACAAAACTATCTACCTGTATTCCTATGGTTGCAGATAGAATTACTACATAATCGGTCTTACAATCATTTTTTTAACTGTTGATGTACGTGAAATGGATTATGATCTAAGATTCTTTACAAGCAACCCTGTAAATAGCGGTGGCGAATTCCCTCGAGTCCTAATCGTAAATACCAACTTTCTCGCTCTCGTGTACGGTGCACTAAAATATTTCAAAGCAAACTGTCGTTTCCACCCTCTAATGGTGGTCTAAATCAGGTTAAGTTGCGTGAAAGACGATTTGGTTTTTAAAATCTTCGGCCTCACTTAAATGTTCTTATAAAGGTTTCAGCATTGAGCCTTTTCAGTGCCCGCAGCATTTGGAATGATTACCCCCCAAAAACCTATATAAAATTTGGGCAAAAGTTATTGAACCAAAGTTTCCATAACACCACATTGCTTTGACTCTCTACGTTCAGATACGAACAAACCTTTGCCGCATTTACGCGGGCAGCCGCAACGCCCCATCAATGAAAGCTATACGAGAAGAAGACGAAAAAGAAGCCTTGGTGAGAGCTTTGTTGAAACTCTGGTGGTTGCTGATAAAACTATGGTTGACGCTTTTGACACCAAAGCCGATTTGGAAAGCTACATTATTACTCTGATGGGTGTGGTAAGTAACATATTATCAGAATGAGGTATCGAATAAGTCTCCTCGTTTTACCTTGTAAAACTACGTCCACGCATATATTAAGCAACTGCGCACCTACCCCTCCCTACCCACCCAACAATAGTGAAAAGATAACAAGGAACGTAGCTAAGGTACTGAGGGCGTTTACGACCTTTGTTCCTACGCGGATTGAATGACTGGATCCCAGAGTTTTCAAAATTAAGTTCGTGTAGTGATAAACATTTTGGTTTGTACCCTTCTGCGGACAGTGCAACCGTATACCTCCATTACTGAGTTATAATGTTACAAGATTTTTTTACATTTAACTTTCCATATCAGTGTTTATCATTTGAGTCAATGATCGCCAAATTGGGGCGAAATAAAGAAAAACATTGTTCATGTCGTTTATAAAAGAAAGTTAAACGAAGAGATAAGCGAAGATAGAACTTGTTAGAGAGACATCTCACAAAATCTTCGCGTTTCCCAAACAACTTTGAGTAAAAACTTGAAATTTCCCCGTCCATCAGGGTTCTATTCTCGTCTACACGATATGTTCAGTCCACCGTGGATAGAGGCAGTTCCTTCGCAGTTTGTATTGTTCATCATGCTCTCAGGAAAACACTTTTTACTGTTTGTATTCTCTTTGTGATTCGTCACACGCACAGGGTATAACAAACAGAAGTGGTAATTGTTAAGAACAAGTACAAATAGTCGTAGAATTGCGAAAGACTTCTTGCGGAGATTTTGAAGTTTATCGCTCACACGTGACTGAGTGACTTGCGCGCGTATCGGTAATATCTTATGACCTTATTTGACCTCAGATTCTCCTGTTTGAAGTTAGCAAATTAGAATTGTTTTGCTGATCTTGTTTAGGCATCTATATCCGGTCTTGTTCACGATAAACTTCTATCAGCCCTAACGTTGATTTCCTCATGTTTTTTACTTGCATCATTCCTCGTGAGAATTGAGGTTTTCTTAAAAACCAACGGCAGGTAGTCCACTCTCTCCGTTTTTCGTTGTCACCGTGCACGCGAGAGAAAGGGTGTTGCGTATGATTAATACTAGGATAAAACAGTTTTAGGCTCAGCAACCGATCGCGAAATTTAATTGAGGGCAGAAGATTTAAAAAATGTACGACGCGTTTATGTAAGGGCTCACAGTTCCGCGCTGCGCACGCAACATCACTGAATTTTTTTCTTTTCTTTTTTTTTTGGCGCGCGAAGGACTTCGCCAAAAAGCAAGGACTGCACGTAATTTATATTGTATCAGGTTTGTGGTAATGTGGATTCTTGAGGACGTTTTTCCCTCATTTCTTGAACAGGTTGCCCAAGTGTATCGCGACAGAAGTATTGGAAACTCCATAAACATTGTTGTAGTGAAAATAGTCTTCCTGGACACAAAGACGGTACGAATCTTGCATTAAACCTAGTTTTTAACCCTTTACATCGTAAAAAACAGTATGCAGGCTCTCCATAATGTTTTCTATAGATCTCTCAAGGTGCTGTTAGGGAGAATTTGTTTAAAACATGAACAAATGAAGATTCTACACATTTCGAAAAAGAGGATAGAAACCACAAAGCTGGAAAAAGACTGGTGCTGGATAATGAGGATTCAATTTATTATGAAGAGCAATTCAAAATAATGAATTATTTTTTAAAATCTCAGCCTTTACAAAATGGAAACTCCCTTTAGAAGAATTCTTACTCCCAAACGTAACCAAGATGTAATTTCCTCTCCCGATATCAACTTATTTTCGATGAAAAAGGTGATGGAAAGAAAGAAAAACATAAATTAAGGAAACCCCAGCCGAGCTAAAATTAGAAGAAATGAACGATTGACTGGGTGGAAAATTGATATTTAGTTCCTGAGATCGAAAGGGATTAAAAAGTATTCTTCCAAACCGGCGACTGTGCCGCGACGCTGAGAGCTGTTAAAGAAAATTCGTGTCAGATCTTCTTAGCGGACAGGAAGCGAACAAAGTGGTCTACACCGCGCGAAAACTCCGTAAAAGCGATTTCCTGTTTTGTTTAATCAAGTCACAAATGCAAAGAAGGATCCCGGAAGTCCACCCCTCGCAAATACGTCTGTACTGGAAATGAGTCACACAACTGACCGCATGTTTCCTCCTGTTTGAATTTAAGAACACGCACAATTTACAATTTCGCCAAGTAACATGGGCAGATAAACTTAGGTTTCCATCGACCATGAAGAAAAAAAGAACATAAAAAAAACACCCCTGTTCCACTCGTTAGCCTGTGAAAACTTGACAAAGGGGTGGGGTCTTTTTCACACTTAAGTATCATTTCATTTGTATCGAATACAGATAGGCCCCAGCAGTAAATGACCACAAGGTTTAATAGGCTACTTACTATGGCCAGACGTGTTTGCAGTTTTCGTGAATACATGACTGTCTGTTTTATCAATTTCAGCGTGATCTCCATATTTCGTCAGACGCAACGCGAACTCTGAAAAGTTTCTGTCGCTGGCAGAAGAAGCATATGATGTTAGAAGAGAGTCATCCTCGGCACCACGATACAGCCATCTTGTTAACAAGGTAGGAAGATAAGCTCTATTTACAAGATGTTTCATGTCCTAGAATTTAAATGAGCGTACGAGACACAAAGCTAAAACTACCTTAATCAGCTTTAACACTACGTTTGTATGAACGAGCTGTAGTAACTTTTCCTAAGGAGCTGTTTTTACTCATTGTTTTATTTTGTTATTTTTTCAGGAGAGATATCTGCAGATCGCCCGGAAAGTGTGACACGTTAGGTAATCGTAACTTACAAAATTTAAGAAATCTCGTCATTGAGTAATGAGCTTATTCTCTTTTTAATAAGAAGCAGCATTAAGCATCGGCGATTTTGGTCGAAGTCGTCAGATCACGAGAGTTAGACACACTTTTCATTTATTATTATTATTATTATTATTATCATTATTATTATTGTCATTATTATTGTTATTATTGTTATTAGTGTTGCAAAACGCGCGTTTCTCTGCCCGCGGAAAGATTGCCTACGAGTCGTGGAGGTTTACCTCATTTTCAGTGCTAAGCGCCATTAGACCTCTCAGCGGCTCCCGTTGCTCAAGGCGAGGAAATTATCCAGAGAGCAAATAATCTGCGCCTGTTTGTAGGCTTCTTCTTTTTCTTCTTCTTCTTCTTCTTATAAAAGTGTGCCCTTATTGTTTGGCATTCCAGGTCTTGCGGAGCTTGGAACCATGTGCCAGGCATCAAGGAGCTGTTCCTTGGCAGAGGACAATGGACTAAGCACAGCTTATACAATAGCGCACGAGCTGGGCCACATGTGAGTTCACAATTTTTCTTTTTAAGAATTTAAATTCATGAGAGTCAGATTGAACCAACTTACAGCTTATGCTGTAACATCCTGCTCAAACTCCTCTTATTAAGAGATGAACACAATAAATGACGAAGAACCATGCTTCCTTAAATTCAAATATATTCAAAACATTTAATACATTTTTCAAACTAAAGATACACCCACTATAGTATCTTCCAAACTGCTGAGGAGACGTTGTCGTCTTTCTCTAGCTCCCTTTCCTCCTCCTCTTCCTTTGTTTCTTCTTCTATTCCTCCTCCGACTCTATCAGAACCCCTTTTCTCCTCCGCCTTCCCTTCTTCCCTAGCCTCTTTCCTTTCTTTTCTATTCCTTCTCCGACTCTATCAGAACCCCTTTTCTCCTCCGCCTTCCCTTCTTCCCTAGCCTCTTTCCTTTCTTTTCTATTCCTTCTCCGACTCTATCAGAACCCCTTTTCTCCTCCGCCTTCCCTTCTTCCCTAGCCTCTTTCCTTTCTTTTCTATTCCTTCTCCGACTCTATCAGAACCCCTTTTCTCCTCCGCCTTCCCTTCTTCCCTAGCCTCTTTCCTTTCTTTTCTATTCCTTCTCCTTCACCTTCGTTCCCCTCACCCTCTCCCCGTCATTTTAACTTTACCTATTTCTTTAATTATTTTAGCTTCAGTCTTCCTCATGATGGAGATAACAACCCTTGCACACGGAGCAGGGGAGAACAACATCTGATGGCTCCTACATTAAGCTTTGACAGCAAACCGTGGTCTTGGTCAAACTGTAGCCGAGAAAAGATCACACAGTTCTTAGAGTAAGTAACAGCACTAGTATCACTGCTTTAACGATTCAGTTGCGACAATGTTATCAACTTTGAGGACGAAAGAGTTGTCTCCTGAATAGAGAGGTTTCATTGATTTGTTAGTAGCAGTAACTTACCTTTCAGTTGCCTTTGTCCCAGTCTAGGGTATGGATCTTGCCTAGCAGATAAGCCTAATGAAAAAGTTCACTCGAAGTATCATGACACTCTGCCGGGAGAAATTTACAGCGTGGACAAACAATGCCAAATGATATTCGGAGAGGAATCCAGGCTGTGTCCATTTATGGTAAGTGTTGTTGACAAAAAATGGCAGTCTTACTCCTTGACTTTTCCAATATTTCCTGCGGAAAGTAAAGGCAAGGGTTTGCTGGGCATATTCAGTTTTTGTTTACGAGGCACTGTCCGAGCTTATGTTCCTCTCCATATTCTAAAAGGAACCTTGCAGACGCCTGTGGTGCGTCAAGATGATTGGAAGAAGGAGAGGTTGCTCCACTCATCACATGCCATGGGCAGATGGAACACCGTGCGCAAAAAAGAAGGTAAATTATCCTAACTCACCGGGTGGTAGAGCTCCGTCTGAGTTAGTTTTGAGAGTTTAATATTCTACCAATACAATAACCCCTCTTTGATGATGATTTTAATCTGCCTTACAACGCTTTGGTACTGAAAGGGGATTCTACATGCTTGTCTCTTTTAGAATCAATGATAAGTGTCTTCCCAAGCCTTAGAAACAACTTTTTTCGTCTCTACTCAACCCAAATTACTTATTCCTTATTTCCTCACGTTTTCCTTTTTTTTTTTTTTGCCTCTTCGATTTTTAAAAGACGTTAAAGGTTTATTTACAAACTGTCGCTTTCCACGAACCGTTTCCAAAACGAATGAGCTTTCTTATTGCAAGTATAAAGCTATCCAAACATTTTGTCAATTTGTGGTCGACCTACTTACATATATTGTTTGCAAATCTCGAGTTCGATGACTTGACAACGAATCCGTTGCTAACAATTTCGTTGTCAAAAGTGTTGACGTGTTGACAGAAACCCTCTGGAGTAGAATACATCCAGTTTCCCTCGTTTGCTAGTGCATTCTAGATTATTCTCTCCGTTGGAAACTGTCGCGTCCGCTTTCAAACGTGCACCACATGCGCTCTAATAATTAACACGTCCACTTATTGACGTTTATGAATTCGAATCTGCCGAAAGTTGCTATCATATACTAAGCGAAAGTAATTTACTGTCATGTACCAAGAGGAGGCTTTAAAGTGAGAATCATCACATAGTTAACACAGTCATTCCATCTGTGAGCTTCCGGTAAACTTTTTACATACCAACCAATTTCTCACGTGCATTGGTTGCATGACGTTCGCGGTCGTGTATGGCATGTCTTGACAACTTCTCTCTTGGTAAAAAAATGTTTTAAAATTGTTTGATTTGATCATACTTAAATTGAATTAGCAACGTCGAGATAACTGTCGCTATAGTGTGTGTTATGCAAGACTACCTTAACCTTAATGAAAAAAAAAAAAAAAACAAGATATAAGTTCGGTACGACAGACCGAAAAAAAATAACTAAGGTTGGTGAACAATTGAACATTGGTAAAGAATACACACGACCATCTCGAGACTCCCGAATGGGGATCGATTATTGCTTTAAAGTTTATGGTAGACAAAGTCACTCACAAAACAAGTCTCTGTTCAAATAACAATTTTAGACATTTTCTCTAATTGTCGGCACTCGTTTCCGCGGATCCTACTAGATCTTTGAAAATGATCTGTTACTTTTTAGTGTTATCAAGTTATCATCAAATACTCGAGTTTAAGATGTTTGCACTTCCTTTTCGTAAACACGTTTGGATTTCACAACTTACCAAGTTCATGTCTTCAATTCAATTTGCTTGTTAACACTAAAATACTGTTGTTTGTTTGTCATCGCTTTCTACAAATGAAATGTCTGCATCGCATTCTTCCCTTAGAATTTCCGATTTTATTTTAGTGCGAAGAACCACATGGGTGTTGACTGCATTGAATACACCAATTCTCACAGAAAACGGATTAGTCGTTACTACAACACTTTTCCTATGCTCGTAAGACCTGAGCATATCCTCTTGTTTGAAGATGGCTTTTTACGTAATCTTAATGGTTATCCTTTTAAAAGAAGAACTTTCAAAATAAATCTCATAATTAGTGACAAATCGATACCTCTGCAATCTTATGAAAACCCAAGATTTCAAAAATTTATGTGCTATATGCAAACCTTGGGAATTGTTATTTGAACTAAAATAATTTTCACTGGCTGCAAGTAGTTTAAAAAGCGTTTCATTTCGTTTGTAAACACCACGTCGTCTTTGTTGCCCGCAGAGCTGGGTCGTAGGTCATAATCATAAGCCGATTAAGTTTAATATCTGTTATGTTTTTAATTCCAATCACTCACTACCTATTTGCTCACATTCTCGGGCAGTATGGTTCCCATATGTAACACTTCGTCCTGAATTACAGCTGAAACAGATTCCTTAATGTCAAACAAGTTCAAATGTAGCCAGAAGAAAATAATGAACTCATTAATTTCTTCTGATGTAACGTAATCAATTATGGAGCAGCTGTTTAACTAAAAAGTTTGGCTTCTCATTTGAGCGAATAGATGACAGCTATTTGTTCCTTATTTGGAATTACTGCGCAAACTTCTCGTCCCTTATTTGGACTTGAAACGAGTGCCTGTCATACCCTTCGTTACGACATTTAAGCCCCCTGGTATGCAAGCAGATTTACGGCAAGAAAATATTTTATTTGTCTTCTGTACATCAGATTTCCTAGTCTAGAGAGTTCTGAGATAGTTACCTAGGCAACGCGCAATAATAGTTTATGCACACTGAAAGGACAGCAGCGATAAAAAATAATATTGATAATATTAATATTAATATTATAATTAATATTAATATTATAATTAATATTAATATTATACCCCAAATATTGCCTTGCTTCCTTCCTCTCTCATAACTTGGCGATTGAGCAACGAGCTAACCTCTTTTCAGATCTCTTCTGTCATTTATCAATCTTCGGATTTCTCCTTCTAACTCAGGTAAATTTAACGGGTGATCTTGCAGTTTACAATTACCACCCAAAAACTCGAATCACTTCACCCTTTCGAAATCACTGAACTTTCTTTAATCGAGTCGCATCACGGGACTACACTAAATCACTTTTATATCACTTGACAACCTTTTCCAACAACAGTACTTCCTTGTGTCGTAAAGTCGTTACGAAACTGAGTACCAGGTTGATTACCAACGAAACCTTCTTCCTTAAAAATTTTTCCATCACAAGGATTTTAGAAGTAAAACGTAACGGACGGCATTTCTATCTTGAATTCTTCATTCGAGGTAAAACAAGGAGGGAGCTGGACTGCTTACATTTAATTAATCAAAAATAATGGTTAACTAGAATTTCTTAATTAACTGACCAGCATGGACATTACAGTGATGCAAGAAGAGCATCACAGCGACGCAAAAGGCTATGGAAATTCATTTATGACCATGCGCAGATTAACGCTTCAATCAGTGCGGTGTCTTAGTAGTGACACAAGTTTGATAGGTCATGCGTGTTGGCAAATAGTTAGTAGCTTATTTTTAACATGCGTGACAAAAGACCTTGTGTCGTGACTTGAAAGTTTTACAGACATTCGTCTCCTTCTGTAAGCATCATTTAACAAGTCACACGACGCTCCATTGAGCGTCCGTGACATACCAAAGATTAGCTACAACGAACACTTCCATTGCCGATGGGTGTTTTATTTTTTTCTACGTGCCTCAGTGGTGCATTAAAGGTCAGTGTGTAAGGAAACGAAAATTGAAACCAGTAAACGGAGGCTGGGGACCATGGGGTCCTTTGAATGAATGCACAAGAAAATGTGGTGGAGGGATTTCCTTCTCATACAGACAGTGTAATAACCCAATGTAAGTACACAACTTAACCATCTCGAACACTTCAACTCGTCACGACACTCTCATCATTTCATCTAGCATACGTCACCCCATTATGTCACGCAATTTCCTGTCGTTTAAGAGGTCGCCGATGTTCACTTAGCTAGTAACAGAAAGAAGAAAAATTATTTCTGCTTGGAACACAGTTCTTGCTATGTTATGCAGTTTCAGAACGTTTTGATCTTTAAAAATGTCTTGTTAAATAGTTATTTGTCAACAAAGGACAAATGACCTTGATCTTATTTTTCAGCCCAGAAAATGGCGGTAAATACTGCATTGGAAAAAGAAAACGTTTAGAGTCATGCAATACTCAGGTAATGATGTTGTAACGTTATACATTTTATTGAGTGTTTCCATAGCTTGTTACGCAGTTCTTGCCTTAAAGCCAGTCAGCATAACGAAAGCGTTATTGGTTTGTTATCTTGACAGGAATGTCCGCCAGGGTCATTGGACTTCCGAGCCTTGCAGTGTGCGAATACACGTGTGCGACGTCTAAGTGTTGGATCGAGGAGTTACAGACCGACCCAGTGGTTGCCAAAATATGCTGGAAGTGAGTAAGAACTTCACTTAACGTTTATGAAGTCTCCCATGGTACCAACTCTTTCCTAACTTGTTGTATGTATTGTCCCGATACAGTTCGCAAAGAAGATCAATGCAAGCTGTACTGCCGCTTGTCTGGCACTGCGATTTATTTCAAACTGAAGAACAAAGTTATCGATGGGACCCCTTGCAATCAAGAGACAACAGACATCTGTGTGGATGGCAAATGTTTGGTAAGTTGCTCCTTTTACAGAAATGTGATCTACGGGTTAAACACGACTTCACAATGATGACATGAACATTTTCATAGCGACGAAGATGACGAGGCCACAACGATGACAAGCAAACGATGATCATTACGATTATACCACGACAACGTAAATAACAACGAGATCATAACGACGAAATGCAAACGATGGTTTTAACGATGGTGCCCCGACAACGACAACGACGAGACCATAACGATAATAAACAAACGATAATTATAACGATGGAGCATCGACGACGTCAACGACGAGACTATAACGACAAAAACCGGACGCTGATTACAACGAAGGTGCCACGACAACTGGAACTATACGACTATAACGATGAACATAACAATGACGTTTCCATAACGACAACGACGACAATTTCAAGACCATAAAGACGACAACGAAAAATCTCATGATGGCGGCTAAAGCACGACATTATAAACACCTCAACAACACACTGACATCAAACGAATGATAACGATAGCGATAACGAATTCTCCCAAATACTAGCCTTACATTCTCCGGCTTTCATTCCAGGCTGCTGGTTGTGACAGAGTCTTGAACTCAACGAAGAAATTTGATAAATGTGGAGTGTGTGATGGAGACAACTCCTCTTGCAGGAGATTTTCCGAGACATTCAACGAGACAAGGTTTGGTAAGGTTTGGCGGCATGTTCTTTCGAATTAGATCTCGGTCCCTCCCACGTAGTTATGAGCCGTTATCATGCAGCGTTCATTTAAAGTCCACAGGGATAACAAGCTCAAGACATGGGAAGCATTTTTATTTCTGAAGACTTAGCAATAACGCTGAGTGTTTAAGATATCTGTGGCGTCCCGGCGCGATCGTCATGAAACGTTTTGTTACAATATCATTACGTTTCCCAGCGAGTAGGCAAGCAACTTTGATAAACTTATCAGCCGGACAGTTTCGTTTTGACATAACACCAATTCTCTTCAACATCATAAGGACACGCTTATCAACCGCAAGAGAGAATTACGATTCATAGATTCCTAGTCGTTTCCTTAGGTTCGAAGGCTAAGCCCCCAAAACTAGTAACGAGCTGACCAGCAATTGCTTTGAAAAAGAGTTAAAAATTGCTTTATTTATAGGATACAATCATATATTCACGATTCCTGTTGCCTCGACGGACATAGTTATCACTCAGTATGGTTGGAAAAATAAGGAAGACTCTAACTATTTGGGTAAGTATTCTTTTTTATCGATTTTAGTGCCACTCGGGTGACATTCGTTTGTCCGAGTCTTAATAATAATAATAAGTCGATTTCATGCTATCTCGATAACTCGTATGGTGAACCGGAAATGAAGGAGAGAAAGTGAGATTGCCGATGTATGACTTGGAATGGCTTGTCGTTGGAGGGTTTGCATGACGTTGACAGAATGTCTCTCCCGGAATTTTCTTCATCAGCGCAGTCTTAACTTAGAGCTGTGTTTATTTTCTTTTTCTTTAAAACTGCTGCCAAAACGAGAAAAAATGAAATTTTTTTGCGCGAACTTTCCTGCTACGGACATATGAAGTAATCAAAGTGGAATCAGGTTATACCAGTCGACGCCCCAAATCTTTTTTGTATCCCTTCGTTTTCTAACGGTAGGAGCCGATTTAAGTTTCTTACACTATGTCTCAAAGTCCACTCCATTCTATATTTTCAGCGCTTCAGAGTCACAGTGGTAAGTACCTTCTCAACGGAGGAATGATTGTGGGGATAGGAATAAGAGAATTCCGAGCCGCTGGCGCGAAGGTCTGGTACTCAGGCTCTGACAAAGCGACAGAACAAATCAAGATTAAAGGAAAAGTTGCAGAACCAATCAGAGTGCACGTGAGTTGACAGTGCAGCCTATCCAATGTTGTCGTTTCTATAGTGACGTCACACGTCAATGTATAGGCAATAAGAAAGAGTATAATTTACTCACTTAAAAAACGTCTTAACGACTGTGGTTTTGTTTCTCAAAAACGGCTTTTTTAATGGTAATGCGAGGAAGGGCTCGAGCAACAGCAACCGATTCGGTGAACGGGCGTGTAAAGCTTTTTTCCTGTCACAGCTGTTTTGAGCTCGAGAACGCAATCGTGTCGTCCTGTAAATTTTCAAACTTCCTTCTCTCTCTTCAACTTATACACCGAATCGAAATATGGCGTCCAATTTGAACTGCCATTGTTCTGGACTTACTAGCCTCTCACACATGTGATAATCCTTTTGTGTTTTCCACGTGAAGACGAGGCTAGTAAGTCTAGAACAATGGTAATTCAAATTGGACGCCATATTTCAATTCGGTGTATGAGCTGCTCCAAAGGCTCCTTTGATTTCTCAGGTTCTTGAAGTTGGAGGCGTAGATCCTCCCAACATCCACTATGCCTACAACAAGAAGATAGCGGACCCAACAAAGCTTTTATACAGGTGGTACCAGTCTGGGCATTGGACGCAGTGCAGTGCGCTATGTCAAGGTGGGAAACCCCCCTGCGTAACCCGTTACGTGGAAGATTTTAACACAATGTTTCACTTTGCACTTGCCACTCAGCCTCTGTCATGCAACACGTGCTTCACAACACTTGCCACTCCAGCACACAGAACTCCATCTTTATGGCGGACCAATTGGGGAGGATGTTTTTTCTAGTCGTTTTCTTTCTCAGGGCCCGCAGTAACTGGCTACCCGCCGTTGCGGTTCCCCTGCCATATTTTGTAGTGGAGAAGTTAATAAATAGATGTTTGTGAGGATGACGGCTAATTTTTGTGCCGGACATGTACCGCGGAATGTCCATAAATAAAAAAAAAAAATTAACTGCTAACGATTCCCGCTCAAGAACTTACTCATCTTTAGGGGGTAGGAATTAAAATATCAAGATTTCTTTCCACCATAGTGTTGCTTTGATTCGTGATTGAGATTTCATGGTGCAGACGTCTTTGAAAACAAATCAAAACTCAGTCCAGTAGCTAAATTATCATACTTTAATGAGTTCCTCTTTTCTTATGAAATCCCGCTTGTTTTATAACCAGGACAAAGAAAGCGCCGACCTACATGTGTTCGTGCCATTGACGGTCAACAGGTATCAACTTCCCGCTGTGACCTAAGGACTCGTCCGAGCAGAAGAACAGAAGCCTGTAATTTAAGTTGCCAACTCAAGTAAGTAACGCAGTCGTTTTAATGCTTTGGGTGGGTAAATGGCTTCATTCCCGTAGATCACTGACTTAAGACTAAAAGGAAAAGCGAATAACTGCCTGTAAGACGCACACAAAGAAACACAGGTAGACAGACAGAAATGAAGACAGATAGACAGACACAGACAACCAGACAGACAGACAGACAGACATACACGAAGACAGACAGACATACAGACACGACGACAGATAGACAGACACAGACAGACAAACGAACAGACAGACAGAAACAGAGAAACCACCAGACAGAAAAAACGTAAAACAGATGCTAACTGACCAACTTTCTGACAGCCAAACAGATAGACAGACAGACAGATAGATAGACGGACAGAGAGAAGGACGATATGACTTAATTCTTCGCTGAATGACTGTCTGGCAAACAGACGGACTGAGATTGTAGGGCTGAGGGATATACAAAACAAAAAACTGGATTACTAAGTGACAAATGGACAGTCTGACGAGGAAGACAGTGACTGTCAGACAAATGGACAAACAGACAGATAGATTGATTAACTTTAGCTTCAGTAGCTTTAAAAGGCAATTTTTAAATGACACGAATCAAATTGTTTTTGTGTAATAAATTTGCAGATGGAAAATACAGAGCTCTGGTGAGTGCTCTGCACGTTGTGGGACTGGGTACCAGACTCGTATTGTACGGTGCTTGCGTGTTAGCAGTGACCGCTGGGATGTCGTGCTGGACAAACATTGTCGAAAAAGTTCAAAGCCTGCCGTAGTTGTTCTGTGCGAGGGAACGTGCGAGGGAACCAAGTGGGTGTACTCGGAGTGGTCTAAGGTATTTAAATTGTGGTTCAGTTAATACACGAGTTCTGATAGATGAAGAAGTATTTACCAGGAAGTTGCAAAATTAACCGAGGAAAATTTTAAAACTATTATTCATTTATCTTGTTTTTCTTTTTCTTTTCTTGTTGTTTTGTTTTGAACGAGCAGCCTTCTACCAGAATCCATCCTGGATTTCGTGGTTTTGTTACTCCTCCGAAATGAATTTCACTTCCCTAGGGTTTATAGAACTCCTTCAGGATGCGTTTGACTACCCCAGGGTAAATTCTACTCTCCCCTAAGGGTGCATTCTACTCCCCGCTAGGTTAAATTCTACTTCCCGCCCGCCCTAGGGGGCATTATACTCCCCTCTCTGTGGAGAAAATCATGACAACAAAATAACCCGACATGCTTTCTCTATCCTACTTATCACTGTAATGGAAAATGGTTTCTATCTTTTTTTCAGTGTTCAAAAAGTTGTGGCAGAGGGCGACAAACCAGAACTGCTCAATGTGTGGACAACTATGAAAAACTTAAGGATCGAGATTGTCGTCCAACTGATAAACTTTCACTTAATAGACACTGCAATACTGTTAAGTGCCCCTGGTGGACGACGGGAAACTGGAGCTCGGTAATCCAAGAGCGTTTGTGTTTACAGTCTCAACTGTTTTTCCTATTTAAAGCTATTCTTTCCTATCTACCCTCCCATGTGCCTGTTTCTGTTTCTGTTTCTGTTTGTCTATCGGCCTGTCTTGCCGTTTCTCTGTCTGACTGACTGACTGTCTGTGTAGGTGTTTGCCCGTCAACCAGTGTAATCATTGTCCAGCCCCTGCTAAACGCCACCTATAAGTAGAAAATTTGTTTGGTAGAGAGAAAGTCTTAATTACTTACGGTCTTCACAGTTTTTAAGAGAATGGTGCCAATATTTTCTTTAATACGTACTATTTGTAGATTGTTTGCTTGGCTAGCTATACTTGAGATTAATCAACCAAAAGTCACAAACGTTTTTGGAAAATGATCCGTTAAGGGTCCAGTGCAGACTTCTCCCCGGGGGGAGTAGTCGTTATTGAAATTTCCCGCTCATATTGTTAGAATCATACCCCCTTGCCTCCCGGTCCATCTTGTAAACATTTTAACATCTTGCATCCTGGCCCATCGTGTGAACATTATGTCACCTTGCTCCCCCTTCCCGAACATTTAATTCCAAATGAGCATCTCATTCATTATTTTCCTCTCCCAGTGCAGTGTGACTTGTGGCACGGGGCAGAGCACCCGTCTTGTGACATGTACTGGAGAACAAGGGACAGTTATGAACAGAGCCTGTAATCCGAATCAGCGACCAGTCTCTACAAAGCCATGTGACCTCAAGAAGTGTCCTTACTGGTTCGTGGGGAAATGGACGGACGTAAGTAAATTGGAAGTCACTTTGTTTTTGCTTAACTTTTCACCTCTTATGAATGACTGGCTTCTAAATTCCCTATACATTATCGCCCTTGGATCAACTGTAAAGGTCATGAGAAAAATGGAAACGACCACCAATTTAACTTCTGACCGTCAAACAAAAATTCTCCTCGTCATTATCACTGGGAATGTAGAGAGATCATTGTATAGAAAAGAGAGATTTAGCACCGCGTTTAGGTGAAACGGCAAACGTCAGCTTGTCCTTTCACGTTTCACGTAAAACAGCGTGAATCTTGCTGCTTTAGCTTCGCGTGAGCTCACGTCATGGTGAATTTGGAAGCGCCCTTGTATGACTCACAAGGAATAGTTTTGAAGCCCTTTTCCAACCGTAGACTTTTACTCAGCTGTGAGAGAAAAAGTGAAGAAAATCTTACGTACACGGCAAACGCGGAACATGTTACTTTCACGTAGAAACGGCAAAGTGCAACCGGCAGACGTGAAAAAATTGGCGGGAAAAGCAAGGTCACGTGGTATTTCTTGCTGTTCACGTTACACGTGAACGCGGTACTAAATGCTTTAATACTAATACTTACTTATGTTAGAGTGTAAAGGGTTTATCTCTTGGCTTTCTTAATTATGTTGCTTATCGTTCCCAGTGCTCTAAGACGTGTGGCACGGGTTTTGCGACCCGGAGCGTCCTTTGTCTCTCGGGGGAACCCGTCCCTCGAGAGGTGGATGAGACCAAGTGCTCCCCTCTGGCCAGACCAGTTTCCAGGAAAGAGTGTAAAATGGAAGACTGCAGAACGACATTATTCAGCTTTCCAGATCCAGGCAAAAGAACGAAGTATTATTGGAGATATTCATTATGGACGCCGGTGAGTTTGAGTGTAACATTATGGTTATTCTCACTTTGTTAATCAGGGGTTGCGGCAAATGCCGGAAAAAGTTGTGGAAATCCTAGTTAAGTTGTTTGGGTGGTTGGTTGGTTTTTCTACATCTTCCTCCCTTGTTTTTGACCCTGTTTCCTTTTTATGTTTGTATTTGTGTTTTTGGACGTTTTCCTCTGATCGTAGGTTAATTGTTGTTTTTTTGTTTTTTTCTGTGTTATTGATTTTATGAAATGTTTTTCTCTAGTGTTCTGTGTCGTGCGGAGAGAAACCTGGGACACGTTATCGTGACGTTGAATGCGTGAAGGTGAAGGTGAAGCCTGGGAACGAGACTGTTGTCGAAAAGCAGGAGTTGGCTCATAAGAAGTACTGTGAGGAAAAAAAGAAACCCGCCAACAGACAAGAATGCAAAGTTCTACCGTGTACGAGCTGGAAACACGGGTCCTGGGGCAGAGTAAGAATCTTTTCGCTTCCTAGCTTCTTTGCTTAAATTTTTTGTCTCTTTGTTATCTTTTACCATTCATTTTGCAACTTTCATGACAAAGATCAGACACACAAGTTTCTCTACCTCGATTTCCAGAAAAATTAATCAAAAGTTTCTCCAAAAAATGCTTTGAGAATTATTTTAGTCTAACCAGGTTGAAGTTGTTAGGGGAAATGAAGTTTTTCTCATGAAAACCAAATTCCCAAACCTCTGAGACGGATATATTTCCTCTCATTATAAATTAATATCTTTTTTCCAAATATCAAAAACATCCCCAAGTTTTAGAAGAATGTAGCTAATAACCACGGTTACTATTCTAACACGCAATGGCCAAGCATCCCCTTCAAGTGTAATAGTAATAGTCGTAGTAGTGTCATGCTAAAAAAAACAGAATAGGTTCCAATTTTGTTTTCTTCAGAAGATTCGCTTCCAAATTTCATGTAATCTTTGTCCCATTGCAGTGCTCACAGCCTTGTGGTTGGGGTTTTCAGCTGCGCGTAGTCAAGTGCACTTACGATAATTGGTTAATAACAGAGGATGAAAATTGCGATCAGAAAAGCCGACCAAGAAACCGGAGAGATTGCCAGATCAATCCGTGTAAATCAACTACATCTGGCACAGATGTCGATGAAACTACGAATACAATTCGAACACAACTTGTCACGAGGCCAGCTCCGACGACTCCCCGAGAAAAACCGGGATGGAAGGAAGGAGGCTGGAGCGAGGTAAAATTGATTCTTGTTTATGCATCGAAGAACCGTTTACAAGTTATGAGTTTTACGAGGCTGTCGAATAATTTTGTCGCGTTAATCTGAGAGCAGTTACCTGGACTTTTAAAACAAAGTGCAAAATTGTTAAAAAAAAAAAATTGCCCTCAAGGGGTCATACCTATTTTTTGGAATAAATTTTTAAAAGGATTACTTCCGGTCACTTCAGTCTAGATTAGTTTGTTTCTTTCAGTGTTCTGTCACGTGTGGTCAAGGCGAAAGACGTCGGAACGTCAGCTGTAGTTATGATAACGGTCAGATAAGCAGTGACTGTGACGCTAACTCCAAACCAGACAGTGTTATGGAATGCGTACTACTAGCATGCCCCGTATGGCATGAAGAACCATGGAGTGAGGTAGGTAGTGCGGGCTCAATTACGAGAAGGAACGTCCCGGTTTGTCCATATGGCTTGAAATTTTACATGGATTGTTTTAAGTTCGTCATTTCCGGTCCATTTTATTCTTCTCTATTTTTAGCCATCCCCGTTTCTTCTTGATTTATTCATTATCTCTTGTGTGATTTTCCTTATAAACTCACAATTTTTTTTTTTCTTTTAACCAAGACAGAATTTCTTCTCACAATATCAACACAATATTAAACAAGCAACTGATAAAAATAACGAAAAATATAAATTATACGATTATTAGTTAGTTGATCCAATACCAAATCTCACCAACTAACATCATTAAGATTGTACGGCAAACAGAAAAGAGAATTAATATTACTGATGAGTTCTTGGATGTGAAAGGGTTAATGTGAGTTTCTACGCATGCCCATCTGCTAAAAACGAACTATGCATGGAGTAGTACATCTACTTTTCTTCTCCTCAGTGCTCAGTGTCCTGCGGTGATGGCACGAGACAACGAAGTGTTGATTGTAGATTTGCAAATGGCCAGTTAAGTGTCGGATGCGACGAGACAAAGAAACCTGCGACCAGAGAGGCCTGCAACCTCAGACCTTGTCCCACATGGATGACAGGGGACTGGGGCAGTGTAAGTACTCCTTGTAGAGCAATTTATCTGCTTATATGCCCGTTCATAAGTAAGATATGTACTTATTGAGTATGGATTGAGTGTGGGAGAGGGCCTCCAGGGAAAACATTTGGCTCGAGTAACCGTGCGTCATGATCATGTGCTAGACATTGTTCGTTCCCGATCAAACTCAGTGAATAGGTATTTTATCAAATGCCACTAAGTCTCCTACATTTTGAGTTTATGTTCGAATCTAGGTAGGACGCGATTACATTTATGAGAAGGGCGCGGTTCAAGTCAATCCGTCCTTGAACAACTGGGCTTTTACTATGGTGTTCTTTAGGGTTGCATGAGCGTCCTATTAAAAAAAATATATATAATCTATTTTACAGTGTTCAGTAACTTGTGGGTCAGGAATCAAAGCTCGTTCCGTGGATTGCAGTGATAGAGACATCAAATGCGATCCCCGGACGAAACCCGAAGCCACCAACAAGTGTGACCTGAAAGAGTGTCCGAAATGGATAACAAGCCCATGGGAAGAGGTATTCTCGCTCTTTTACAATATTTTATAACTTGAAAAAATTTTTTAAGTTCCACAGTTTAAGAATCTGTCATTTTGTAAAGGGATATACTCTTACTTATTCGTTATTTCCGCTCGGATCTTGGACCATACCCCCTCATCGTGCCATTTTTAAACTTTTTTTGCTTTCTTATCCATTGGTAACCAATCAGTGTTATTTCGTTCTCCGAAGTGTTCCGTTTCTTGCGGAGAAGGCCAAAGAAAACGTCAAGTTGATTGCAAAACTACAGATGGACAATGGAGTCTTGGATGTGATCTGAATATCAAACCTGCTGTAAGAGAGGCCTGCAACTTAAGACCGTGTCCCTCATGGATGACTGGGGCCTGGGGAAAAGTAAGAAGTCCATTTATGTTATTCCATTTTTCTGAGGGGCTTCAAATCTGTATCAAATACACTTGTATGTAATCATTCGTTGACTGTTTTTTTTCTTCTTCTTCTTCTTCAGTGTTCAGTGACCTGTGGTTCAGGAGCGAAGTTTCGCACAGTCGAATGCAGTGATAAAGACATACCATGCGACGCTAAAACAAAACCGTTGGCCAGGGAGCGTTGTGATTTTAGCGCGTGTCCACAGTGGATCACAAGCCCCTGGGAAGAGGTAAATATATACATGCATATACCTTTCATTCGAAGGCTTTTAAAACATACAATGCTGGTGACTATTTTTTCAAGCTGCATTGTATTTTCTAAAGAACAAAAGATCCAAAACAAGTCATTTTTGCTCCACTATTTTTCTATTACGTTCGTAATCGCTGTGTTATCATATCAAATGCGATTCCTTGATCTCAGTCGGTAAAATAACGTGATAGTGGACTGGAAACTATTGATTGAGAATTATTTCTTAGAATAAATTAGCTTTGTAATACTTTTTACGCAACAAGAAACAAACTCAAATATATCACTCGGCACCAAACGACTGCAGTTTTAAATCGCATCTTTGTTGCAACGAGATGAGCGCGCTGAATTCAGTTTTTATACAGGTAGCTCGCTTATAGGTTGAAGTCCCAATACTGGACAAGGTCGTTTTACGAGAGCGGACTGGGGCGAGACGGGGTGTAGCAAGAACGTGTGCCCTTTTTGTTGTTCAAAGATTTGTCGTTTTGCTGTTTTCGCACCATTTTAGTTTTTGTGCGATCAGTTGTCTCTCACTTTTTTTCTGTAGTGTTCAGTCTCCTGCGGTGAAGGTACAAGGCACCGCAGTGTTGAGTGTAGACTGGAAACTGGACAGCTGAGTCCTGGATGTGACGAGAGAGTCAGACCACCTGCTAAAGAGGCTTGCAACATTAGACCGTGTCCTACATGGATGGCGGGACAATGGGGCAAAGTGAGTTGCCTTATTGGACTAACATTTAGAACACGTATATTCTAGCCACAAACCTAAGTAAGTAAACCACTTAAACGTTTTTGTTCTTCTTCGTTGGTAGTGTTCAGTTACTTGTGGCTCAGGATTGAAGATTCGTTCAGTCGAATGCAGTGACGAAGACATACAATGTGATATTAGAACAAAACCGCGAAGCGAACAACGATGTGATCTTCGGGCGTGTCCACGATGGATCACCGGCGGATGGGGGGAGGTAAGACAATTCGCAGATCATACATCGCTTTTTGTAGGAATTATTAATTTGAATTCAATAGGTATTGAAGAGAGTTTTCCGAATTGAGGACATCTCAACTAAAAGTGGAAAATGGAGGAAAAGGCTTTAAGAAAGAGAAAGGGAAGAGTGGATCCCTTCTCTCAATATTTTTCTCCTTCGTGACCTACCGAGACGTGTGGTGTTTAACTCAGTCGTACAAAGTTAACTCTTATTCCCAGAAATAATGGAACGCCATTTTGCAATAATTGAAATAGATTAGTTCAATTTTTTATCTTATCAAGTATCTTAGATAAGCTGAGAAAAAAAAAAAAGAAGAAAAAACTTTTCGTTAATACGTAGATTTAACCCAACGATTTTCTCCTCTTTCTCGTGCATGTATAAATGGAATCGCACAACCTGGTGTGTTGGCGGTGTGAATGATTCCTCTTTTCTTTCTTTCTAAAAGTGCTCAGTAACTTGTGGATCAGGAATCTTAATGCGTTCAGTAGAATGCAGCGATGAAGACATCAGCTGTAATTCTAAAACGAAGCCAGTCACCACTAAACGATGTTTTGACCAAGCTTGTCCACAGTGGAACGTGGGGCTCTGGGGAGAGGTGAGATCATCTTTACGTAACACAGCAATTAAAGGCGAGAGGATCAACTTGACCTACTTATTGTTTGTGCAGTTGTCCATACACCGAATGCAAATATAACGTCCAATTTGAATTGCCATTGTTCTGGACTGACTTGCCTCACACACATGTAATAATCCTTTTGTGTTTCCTCGTGAAGACGAGGCTAATCAGTCCAGAACAATGGCAATTCAAATTGGACGCCATATTTGCATTCGGTGTATAGCTCCTGTGAAACAACTTAGTTCCGACATCCTAGAAGCACGCCACCAGGCGAATACAACGTTCGCTCATCCGCACATGTTGACCGCGTTCTCTCTTTTTTGTAGTGTTCAGTCTCCTGTGGAGATGGTACAAGGCTGAGAACTGTTGATTGTAGATTACCAAATGATCGCTTAAGTCCCGGATGTGATAAGGAACAGCAACCTTCAGCTAAAGAGGCATGCAACATCAGACCGTGTCCTACATGGATGACAGGGGAATGGGGCGGAGTAAGTTGTCCTTTTGGAATAATTTCCTGCACAAATCTTACCTCTCTACGTCATTGCATATGTATCAATATTCTCTCTTTTTTTTTTTCTGATGGATATCAAGTGTTCTGTGACATGTGGATCAGGGGTGAAGAGTCGCTCAGTGGAGTGCAGTGACATAGACCTACCATGCGATGTTATAACGAAGCCAAAGACCTTCCAGAGTTGTGATCTTGCTAAATGTCCACAGTGGGAGGCGGGTCCATGGGGAAAGGTACGTCACACGAATAACTTCGAAAAAAAAAAGACATCCAGTCTCAACTTTTCCACAGAGACTCGGGTTTCTTGACTCGCCCCTAAGATTTAGCGATCTGGTAAGCCACTAGCTACGTCATTAACTCTTCACGTCGAGTATCAGAGCTGAGCCCGCGAAGTTCACAAAGCGAGTCACAAAAAAAAAGAAAAAAAAATCAGTCTCCGCGGCGCACTAGCATCAATTTTTTTTTTCGCTAATTTTTTTGTACTCCCGCAACAGATTTTCGCCGAGATAGAGGGAAATGTCTGTAATCTATTCAGAGGATGGAGGTTTCGTAGTTTAAATCCTCGACGGGAAGGGGAAGGTCAACACTGTTTTCTTTGTCCCATCTTGCTGGCAAACAAATCTAAACCCCCCCCCCTCCCCCACTCCCTCTTTACTTTTTGAATGACCGAGCTTAGAAAATTTACTCACTGAGTTGAGAATGTAAACTGGTCACTGTAAAGAGTCTCTAAGGCTGACGTATCATCAATTTTATATATTTCTTTTTTAATGTTAATTCTCTATTTGTTCCTAGTGCTCAAAAACATGCGGTGCAGGATTTAAAAGACGTACGGTAAAATGTGACGGAGGCAACGCTCGATGTGATTCCAGATCAAGGCCGCAAAGCGTCGAAAGATGTAACCTTGGGATGTGTCCTAGATGGCATCCAGGACCATGGAGCGAGGTAAGATAATGATTTACTGGGAAGGCATTTCTCAAAGATAAATATTTAATTCAGTGTCAGAAGAAACCTTCGATTCTATTGGTTAGGCTTCATCTCGCTCATCGAGTTTTCAGATTTCCAGCCTAAACACTCGAAGAGAAATTCCCTATCTCCGCACGCCCATGTATTTTTCTCTAATTATTACTTTTCCTCTTATAGTGTTCAGTTACGTGTGGCTCAGGAGTTAAGTATCGTAACGTGACTTGCGTTGGAATCAGTTCCAAGTGTAACCCGAGAACCAAACCACGCCCTACCTTGAGGTGTAACAACTCGCCTTGTCCGAAGTGGAAAACTGGATTGTGGAGTAAGGTATTAAGAATGTCACCATGTTACATATCTTTCATCCGGTTTCTATATCGATATCAGTTAGGCATTTGTGTGGGAATAGCCCCCACTCTACACAATTTTTGTTAGGAAAGGGTGATTGTTCATAATAACAAAAGAGTCTGAGAGAGACTCCCTGAAGACCAAGGTATTTCTAGTGACAAGTACTGATGAACACTTTGCAAATACACCAAATTGAGTAATTTTCTATTTAGTGTCGCAAAGAGTAAGGAAATTGCACTGAGCTTGTTTACTTGCTCCCGAAAAGTCGCGCCACCCTCTCAACCAATCAGATGCAAAACTAAAATCAATCACGACTTGGTGGCCAGCGTTTTCCCGCCTTTTTGGTACTTCGGTTGTTTTTACTTTGAGTTCTCATTGGCGCTTAAAGATGTATTTCCTTTTTTCTGATTGCTTGTTATGATTACTTTGGTTATGAAAGCTGGCACACGCTTATTCTCAATCGTAAACATTTTGTATTGATGATCATTTAGTTGGTTTACTTACATCGTGTTTTGACCCGTGGCATTTGACTCCCTTCTAGTGTTCAAAGTCTTGTGGGAAGGGAACTAAGAAACGTGCAGTGGATTGCGTCGGCGGCTTGAACCCCCAGTGTGATCCCAGGAGCAAACCGGCCTCGACGGCCGAATGTGATCATGGGCGCTGCTCAAAATGGAATGTTGGAGAATGGCAGAAGGTAATTCATTGTCACTAACTAACAGATGTTGCAGTTTTCGCTGTTGTTACTGGTTTTTTTTGTTTTGATGGTGCTGTTGTTGTTGTTATTGTTTTGCGATGTTGGTGGCTGTTGTTGTTTGTTGTTAGTTTCATTCGTCGTTGCTGTTTTTCTGAGGTTTTGCTTCATGGACGGATCACCTAATTTTTTGTTTTGTTTTTTGCAATGGAAGGGGGGGAGGGGAGAGGATGGGAAACCTCTCGAAACCTCCGCTACCGTACTTTTATCTACACAAAGACATAAAGACAGCAAAAGCTTGCAAGAAAGCATTGAAAACGTCGCATCCTTTACATCCAGGAATCCCTTGAAGGAAAATTAATTTTCGTGTCTTATTTCCAGTGCTCTGTAACTTGTGGCCGAGGCTGGAAATTCCGTAAAGTGGAATGTGTTGGAGGCACTATACGACTATGTGACTACAGAAACCAACCAGACATCTACGCGCAATGCAACATGGGACCCTGTCCTGTATGGCAGGCGGGAGACTGGGAAACGGTATGGAAATTCAGCCAACTTTCTGATGCCATCTCCAAATGATCCCAGGCCAACTTGATACACCCTAACATCAGCATGCATGCTCTCCATACTGTTCTCTATACACTTCCGTCCTAGCGTGCCGACTAGGAGAATTTGTTTAACAATCAAGAGCTTCTCTAGTTGGTGATCATTTCCTATATTCTCGTGACCTTAATGTTTGCTTTAGAGGTTATATCGTAAGGACAAATTATATGTTAGTCACTATTAGGGTTAGTGGGGTTGAAGTCGAAATGCTCACCATTGTTTCCTTTAAAAGAATTCCAGTGTTTTTTTTTTTAAAGAGAAAACTGGTTTCCAAGCAGAGTACTAAGATATCGGTCTTGCGACCGAGGCTTTGGTAGGATGTTCTGAAATGCACGATTTATCACATGAAACATCCTCTCTTGCATGAAATTTTTAAAGATTACGCCCTATTTTACTCGGAGACTGAACAAATAATTTCCGCATGCACAAGAAGATGGACGAGAAGAACTCGCACCTTAGTGAACGAGTTGAAATGTTTCTTCATGAGCAGAAGATTAAACAAAATATCTGCCTGCAAGAAAGGTCAGTTCGGTTCTCGAACTGACACAAGTGCGCCCAGTTCCGGTAAAAAATACCAGAAGTAAGAGATGAATTTTTTTTATTGCAGTGTTCAGTTTCTTGCGGAAAAGGCTTGAAGAGTCGCACAGTTACATGTAGTGGAGGGGAAGGGAAATGTAACACGAGAAGCAAACCACTTGCCACAACCAGCTGTAGTCTTGGTGCTTGTCCTGTTTGGCGATTTGGTGCATGGAGTCCGGTAACGTAATATTGAAGTTCTTATTTGTCCATGGGTTACAAATTTTCGAACCAAACTTTGTTTCAGACAATTTCAGGGAAGCGAAAAGTGTAATAGTAAACACGTTTACCATAGATGGTAAATTTTCAGCTTGGTCGTCGAATTGAAGAAAGATTTGTCATATTTTCAGGGCATGCGCACGGGACAAAGAACAAATAACCTGTGTTCCACAAGGGGAGATTCAAGTCAAGGGAGCTTACGTTTGTTTTTGTCTCTCGCTTGCGACGGAGAAAAAACTGAGTCCTTTAAAAATATAAAACGGAACCCCGTTAATACGACCACCTTCGGGCCATGGAAAATTGATCGTATTAACAGGGTGGTCGTATGAACAAGGTAGGGTGACATTGAGTGGGCTTTTGTTCGGGCCACAAAAAGTGGTCGCAATAACGGGGTGGTCGTATTATCGGGGTGTTCGTATGGCGGGGTTCCACTGTAACTTGATTTATTTTAATAACAAACTTCAATACAGTTAAACGGGTTCTAAAGAACAATTCTTACCCTTTTACAGTGCTCAGTGTCCTGTGGAACTGGGAAAAGGGAACGCAAAGTTTATTGCAGCATAGCAGCAAAAAAATGCGACAAGGAAAGAAAACCAAAGACGGTAAAATACTGTAACCTTCATGCGTGTCCTGAGTGGAAAATTGGTGACTGGAGCCAGGTAAATACAGAGAAAGAAAGCAATTTGAAAAATTTGCTTTATATCCGATTTACATTCTTCGAGTGAGTTTTTAGGAATGTCCTCGTTTTTTGGGTGAATCCCAAATGCACTTTGTACTCGTCGGTATATCTTTGTGGGTTTTCGGAACTGCTGTTGCCGTCAAAAAGTAGTTCTGAGAGAGGATCCTAACACAGGTTTATCCAGAGAGTACGACGTTTAAGTGTTTGTCGATTAAGTGTCAACGTTCAAGAGCAGTTTCTCATTGGTTGTCGAAAGGGATGTGGGATTACATTGGTTTTATTTTATTCCGATCTCTGATTGGTTCAGAAAACTCGCGCCATCCTTCAACCAACATGATTTAGAACAAACACCAATACGTGTCCACGTTTTCCCGCGCTTGAGACGTTTGATTTTCTCCACTTGGAATTATGATTACATCCATGGGATATTTTTTTCTTCTTTTGATTGGCTTGACTTTACTTCTTTTGTTTTTAGGACACTAAATCGAACGCGACCTGAAAACCAAACCCAAAGTAAACGCAATGGCTCACGAGCACTAAGGAACAATAACAAGCCATAGTACAATTATATAACCGCGCCTTGCGAAGAGAAATCGAGAGAGACCGAGTCGCCATTGGTTTTAGTTTTGCATCTGATTGGTACTAAGGATGTTGCAAGTTTTCTAAACAAACCTGGTAAAGGTGATACAACCAATGTAATGCCAGATTCTTTCCTCGTTTAAATAAAATTTTTATCTAACTGTCACAGTGTTCAGTGTCTTGCGGAACTGGAGTAAAAGAACGTTCAGTTGAATGCAGTGGAGGAAGTGGCAAGTGTGATGCAAGAACTGAACCTGAAGCCAAGACAAGTTGTAACCTTGGAAAATGCCCCGAATGGAAATTTGGTCCGTGGAGTCAGGTAAGCACTTGTGTCTTTTTGGTATTTCTGAGCATATCACTCTCCTAGGAATAGAGAATCTTAGAGGGAGTGGGTAGGTAGACAGGAAAAAGTACTGAGAGGATTATTGGAAAAAAAATTATTTTCAAGGAGTCATTCTTTACCATTCCGGGTCAATTAGTCCTTCTTCAAGAAAAAAAGAGGAATTTAGCACCGCGTCTGCGTGAAACGTGAAAGGCAAGAGTGACCACGTGACCTCGCTATTTTACGTGAAACGTGAAAGACAAGCTGACGTTTGCCGTTTTACGTAAACGCGGTGCTAAATCTCTTTAATGACAAATTGTACTGTCCTGCTTTGCAGTGTTCTGTTTCCTGTGGAAATGGCAAAAAAAGTCGTACCGTCGAGTGCACAGGAGAAAGAAATCAATGTAACGTTAAAACTAAACCACAGGCCACAGCCAGCTGTAATCTTGGTTCTTGTCCTGTGTGGATTACTAGCGAATGGACCCAGGTGAGAAGAATGTAGTTCATGTCAATTAGAGGACATCCACTGCGCAAGATCTAAGGGTGGAAGCTGTCTTGAACAGAAACCTCCTCACAACTTACCCATCAGAAAATGAAACGGGAATCACGAACATGTTTTTGAATCGTTCAGAAGGAATTCGCCATTCTTCGGACGTATTCGCTTAAACTCATTTATGGGTGACTCCTTAAGTGCCATTAGGGTAGGGGAGATCTGTGTCGTATATATTTGGGTATTTCAGGGGAGGGGAGGGGAGGCGGGGCGGGGTGGGCGTGGAATGGAAAGGGGTTAAGGGTGTTGTCAAGAATAATCGTCATCTGAAAGGCAACCGTTTCGAAATAGTTTCCTAAGGTAGATATACACTAAAGAAGTAAGCATCATTGAGAACGCAGCAAAAATGATTGAAGAAGGAGAAAACTGTGATAAATTGCATTTGATGATAAGGGATAATCTTTATTTGTACTCGCATTCATACTTGCTCTAAGCAAAAAAGTTACAAAATTAAAAGAAATTATTAGAAATAAAATTGGAGTACTAGCAGCCTGGAATAACCATAGGGGCTAGCGGAACCAGACAGCTAGTTAACATCAGCATTAAATAAAATTAAAATACAGGTCAGCAAGAAGATTGAAGCACAAATGCACACACACACACACACACACACACACAAGAAAAAAAAAGAAAAGGAATTATTAGATATGAAGGAAGTCTAAAATAGTTAGAGTTATTTATGAATACTAAGTAAACATTAATATAAGAAGAGCACAATGTCTACGGCAACTAGTAACAGCTATGTTATTATAAACTACAAAATAAAGAAGTACTTAAAAGGTTACAGAAATTAACAGGAGACTAGATTACAGTAAATTGGAAAACAATACACTGCTAATAAGTACATAAGTTGCTAATAAGTATATAAGTTGCTAATAAGTACATAAGTAGCTAATAGTCTTTGACTAGATCGCATTTTATTGACTCCTCGAAGGTCACACTGATGCGTAGGACTTTGTCTCACGTTTTTCAGGATGCACGAGCTGTGATTAACAATTAAAAAAATAGATAATCTTTATTTTTCTTTAGTGTTCTCTTACTTGTGGTGATGGTTCAAGACAACGCAAGGTTCAATGCAGTCGACAAGACGTCCAGTGTGACCTTCAAACCAAACCACAGGATACATCGCGGTGTAACTTGGGACCATGTCCCGTGTGGAAAGTTGGACAATGGACCCAGGTGCGTTGTAGGGTCATTGCAAGAAAATTGCTCAAGTTTGACTGCGTTAGATGGGGGTCCGGAACCAGCGTAACCAATCAAAACAAAGTTAAATATCACAAGAATGCACTATGAATTCAAAGCAAAAGTAATCAAACTGCCCTAAACGGGAGGAACCGGAAGTGACGAAATCGTAACAACTTTTATAGCCCATCTTATTGTTTGAGAAGATGATGAAGTTATGCCTAACAACCGACAATTGTTTTGAAGTAAGACCAATGCAATCTCAGATACCATTTGAAAAAATTGCGCTATGGAAGGTCTCACAATGCTCGTGAAAGTTAGAAATATTACTTTTGCATCCAGATGGCAATTTATCATGCATTGTGAAGTTGTCTCATGTTGTTGTTTTCTTTATCTTGCAGTGTTCCGTCAGCTGCGGAGATGGCAACAAAAGGCGATCCTTGTCATGTAGTGGAGGATTAAACAAATGCGATCAAAAGAACAAACCAGAAGCTTTTACTCGTTGTAACCTTGGAGCTTGTCCTGAATGGAGAGTGAGCCAATGGAGTGAGGTAGGAATTTCTCTGTCATCATCTGCTCCCAGCTCACAATCACAACTGATTAACTCTCTACACCCAGATATCAGTTTGCAAGTTTTCCTTACTGTTCTCTATACGTTTACTATGTTGGTTACATGGAGAATTTTCCCAATAAACAAGAGTTTCTTTAGTCTTCAATCATTACTCAGAATCAAATTAACCCGGCGCCACAAGGAACCGACAAGGATTTGATTAACCTCATGTCAACGGTTCCATACACGGGAAAAGATGTGCTACAGAGTTAAGAGTGGTGTAATTCTTACATCTGATTGGTGAAGAGGGAGGCTTGGGTTTTCTACACCCTCGTGGCTTTTAGAATTACTTGAAAATTACGCTTACAGAGTTTAATATTCCTTAAAGTGTTCAGTTACTTGTGGAAGTGGCGTCAAACAGCGCACGGTCCAATGCAGCAGAGCTGATGTAACATGTGATTCAGACAAGAAACCCATAACAACGATGAACTGCGATCTTGCTGAATGTCCAAAATGGCAGACAGGCCAATGGAGTCGGGTTAGTGACCATTTTTTTTTTTTATCTAAATCATGTCTTGGGGGCATGATATGTGGCTTGTGCTGAAACTTTCTTAAGCTTTTGTGAATTTATTTCGAACTTCAACTCTCTCTTTACCTACCCCCTCGGCAAGTTCTTTGTATTCATGTAGGACGCATGTGATCTGATCAATGAGTCCATCGCGTTGAGAAACCTTCAACTTGACTTTGAGGTTGATGGGAACATTTTCGTGGACACGTTCTTAGCACAGTTAATTTTTTGGATTTTTGTTCTCGTTATCACAAGTTTGTCGCGTGTTTTTTGGTTAGAGTCAAAGACTCATCGACGTCTCTATTCACAGTGAAATGTTGCATTCAATTTGACACGTTTATTACATCTTTGTTCACGGAGTCTGGACTTTAGCCCCTTATCGAAAAGGACTTTTTACAGTGTGGCTTTGTTCCGCTTTGAGTATTCTGAGTTGGAAAACCATCCGAACACGTAATCATGACGAGCTGGAGTTTCAGTGCTCAAAACCACTCGGTTAAATATAAATGACTTCTCAATCGTGGTACTCTTGTCTTTCAGTGCTCCGTCACCTGTGGCGATGGTAACAAAAGGCGTTCAGTGTCATGCAGTGGAGGAAGGAATAAGTGCGATGCTAGCAACAAACCTGAAGCTATTTCTCAGTGTAACATTGGGGCTTGTCCTGAATGGCTAGCAGCTGAATGGAGCCAGGTAGGGCCAATGTCTTCCTCACTCCAATCCGTCCGCTCACTATAGAATACTCCAATTATAGGTGTCGAAAACCAACCAATCAGAGTGGAGCATGATGCTTCGTAAAGTGGCGCGTATGTAGTCGACCCCATCACTTAAGACTGGCGGTATGCAATCGAAACGTCGCTATTTGCATCGCAAGTGGCAACATCGTGAAACTAAAGAAAATACTTTGTTATTGGATTCGCTCGAAGTTTATAATTGACAAAGAATTCTATATATAGGGTTAGAGAATTTTGAGAGTGATTGAGCCACTTGCATGCGTGTGCTGTTCAACTGATAAGCAGGTAATTCAAGAATTATTACTCCGTTCGACAATCAAAACTGTGTTTAGTTGACGTTAGATATATTAGTCTTTAATCTTTTCGTTTATGAGAATGGGAGGTTTGGGGTGAGACAGCGAGGACTTATGAAAAAATTGAAATTCACGCAATTTAGATCATTAGTGCTCTCGCATCAGCCAATGAAATTGCAGCATTTCTTAAATCGCACGAACTTTGAATACTTGCACATCAGAAGTAATAAGTTTTTTTTAACGATCCATATCTAGTGCTCGGTCACTTGTGGAAGCGGTTCGAAACAACGCATGGTTAAGTGCAGCAGATCGGACGTCGCATGTGAACCAAGAAAGAAACCAGTAACAGCAGCAAGATGTGTTTTGGGCGAATGTCCCGAGTGGCAGACAGGGAAGTGGGGTCTGGTGAGTAATTGAGTATGGTGTGAACTTGTTTTATCAAAACTGTAGCTTTACCCTGTTTATTTCAAACTGTGCCCTGGGGTGTTGACTTGTGCTAGTGCATCACTCTGATTTTGACCTGGACATCTCAAACTCCTCAGTGCATCATTTCATCACTGTTGTTTTTTTATCCTGGATATCTCACTCCTAAGCCAGGTCTGCGGGTATGGACTTATGTTGATGTCCCTGTAAAGTGACACTTGACCTCCCTAGCTTAGGATGTGCCCCTGGATCCTGAGTGGTGTAAATGTTTCAGGGTGAAAAAAAATTTGAACATTAACGCCTGGCAATGTACCCTTAACATCTTGGCGTCCTTGGAGCGTTTAATTTTTGTCAGAGACTGTAATTTTACCGTGGTTATCTCAAACGCCCAGAATATCGAATCAGAGTTGCTGGGAAAATACAATAGTAATCTTGTAATTGATCGATCTCTTTTATCTTGCTCTGTAGTGTTCAGTAACTTGTGGCGAAGGACGTAAAAAGCGCAATGTTAAGTGTAGTGCAGGATCAAAGAAATGCAACCCTGCGACTAGACCGCAGACCTTTACGAGTTGCAACCCTGGTGCTTGTCCACACTGGAAAGTAGCGGAATGGTCACAAGTAAGTCCATTGACTATTTACAATGGCACACCCACCCCTCCAGACCTATGCGGTCATTTTATCGCCTGTCTGACGACGAAAATTGTTGTGATGACAGGATATTTTTTTGTCGGTCAATTTGGAGTATTTAGAGTTTACTTGTCTTCAAATATTGCATCGATTATACACCCATAAGACTGAAAAAAGGAAAAAATTGTATTTTCTGAATCAAAGTTTTGATAAATCCAAATTTAGAGCAGTTTTCATCTAATGCTAAGAGTATTACATTCAGATGAAACTCATCAGCAGTAATCTTGCTGATCGATCCGTCTTGTTATAGCATACAAAACCTGAGAATGATGTTCTGAAAATTTTTTCAACGTTCTTAGACTTGACGTCACTGATCAAACAAACTCTCCAAGGCCACCATCGATTTTCCCCATTAGGATAGGAAAAAAAGCAAAGAATACTTCCTTGGAATGGATATGGTTATACCCACATTTAACCTGTGTTAACTTTGTTCTTATCCCTTTTTACTAATGCAATAGGAACTATTGTTTCTAGTTAAATTTTGATCAGCTGGCCCGCCTGGACTAGGACTAGTTATCTGTGGCCAGGAAAATTTTGATCAACTGGCCCGCCTGGACTAGGATTAGTTATCTGCGGCCAGGAAGATTTTTGTAGAGAAATAAAAATAGATATTTAAATTAAAAAATTGTTGTTGCTTTTGTTTGTGAATAATTCTTTTATCGTCATTGCAGTGTTCTACTTCTTGTGGGGAGGGATTCAAAGAGCGTGTGGTCGAATGCGACGGGGGACCGAATACTTGCGACCCTGAGGCCAAACCGATTAACAGAGCCCGCTGTAACTTGGGACAGTGCCCACACTGGAAAACAGGAGAATGGTCTGAGGTAGTATGGTTATCTTTATTACATCTCTTTTAAGATCTATCATTGTCGAAAGTGAGAGATTTACTGGTAGTTTTGTGTACTAGAGGACCTTCAATTTTGCCTGCTGTTTACTTAAAAGAAACCTTCATTTGATTTGAATAAACTTTTAGAGTAAACCTTTTTCTGTCGCTACTTCTGAAAGGTGTTACACAAATTCCTCCAAAATCTGTGCCACCTTTCTGAAATACAATTTGTTTTACAGTGTTCGGTG